GTGCTAGTGACATTTAAAAAGGTAGATCTTCGATTCCTTTTGCAGTTATTGATCTTATTAAAAACTGTAATTAAAATGTTTAAGTAGCTTTTTCCTATTTGGAAGCTTTAGTGCAACAAAACAAGAAAATATTTTTAAAAATAGCTCTTTTTTTTTTATAGATGAAAGGATTGCATTGTAGAAACCTCTAGGTTTATGCTTGGCTTCCTCCTTCCCCTCAAAGTCTGTAACTCAGATGTTATGTTCTCTGTGAGGCCTTCTGCCTTATCCAAAATTGGGGTCCCTCAGTAATCTCAGCTCCTTCGTGCTCACCACCTTCTCATCCACTATATATTTTACTTACTGACTCCTTCCACTAGAACGCAAATTCCATAGGGACAGGAGTTTGTGAGCACATATTTAACGTCTTAACAGTCTTCTGTTACTAAATTAAAAATTTTTTCATTTATTTAATTTCTTTTAGAGGAGGATGGGAAAAAGAGAGGAAGAGAAATATCACCGTGTGGTTGCCTCGCACACGCCCCTGACTGGGGACCCAGCCCACAACCCAGGCGTGTGCCTAGACCCGAAACCAAACCGGTGACCCCCTGGCTCGCAGGCCTCTGCTCAACCACTGAGCTACACCAGCCAGGGCTGCTGTTACTAAAGTTTAAGAGTTCACCCTTTTATTCTTTTAAATGCTTCTTTATCTTAATTTTTCTTTTCATAAAAGTAATACATGCTTAACTGAACTAACAAGCAAAATAGAGACAGACTCATAGAGAATATCTGGGGTCGGGGAATGGTTAGGGGGTGGAGGCATCAAGCCAAAAGGAAAAAGGACTCATGGACGTGGACAACAGTGTGATTTAGCGGGGAGGGGATATGTGGTAATGGGGAAAATACAATAAAAAAGAAAAGTAATACATGCTTATTATAAAAAATGTGAACATTATAGAAGTGGCTCGAGTCCTGTCTTTGCCATATGCCCTGCAAGCCCACCATCGTGAGGCAGCCACTGTTGATAATTTGATATGTCTCCTTTCAGAATTTTCCATGCACATATACTCATTTTAAAATAATAGAGAGAAATTAGAGTATAGTATGCATGCATATAATTCTGCCACTTGCTTTTTTCACTTAATATAGTCATCTTTCTATGTCAATACATAGACATTCATGTCATTCTTTTAAATAGCTTTCCATTGTTATATTGCATCAGATATGTGATTCATTTAATCTTCTATTTATAGATTGATGTATTTAATTTTTTTGCTGTTACAACCAATACATCAATAACTTCATATATGTCCTATTACTTGTGATGGCATTTCTTCCCAGAAATGGAATGGCTGGGTCTAAGAACATACACATTTCACATTTTTGTATGTTCTCCCAAAAGGCTGTATCAATTTATACTGTCAAAAACACTGAGTTTGTTTCCCTACACCCTCACCAAACTGAGATATCACAGTCTTTTAAAATTTTGCCAATCTAATAGACTCTCGCTTCTTATTTTTTTATTTTCTTGGCTTTATGGAGAGGATAGATTCTTGTTTTAATCACTGCCCCTTTGCTCCACTAATAAGGGAGGAATTCCCACCCTAGGATTATGATGATGTCCAGATGCAATTCCTGACATTGGACCAATGAGTTTGACAGTAGTCTATTAGTTACGTGTCCTCACAGCTCAGGGGAGGAGGACACCATAAGCCACACAGGATCATACACGTGTTCCACTCAGGACTACAGTGAACAACCAGAGACTTGGAGGGGCAAGCTTTATAGCAGTAAGAAGGTGAGGTGACCCATGATTGCTGTATGAGAAGTGATTGGCTCCTTTGAGTCCTTCCCTGGGCTGGTAAAAAACTGAAACCTGCTACTCAGAGATAAGCAGGAGCTGTACCTGGTCCATTCAATAAAAATTATTTGACTAGGGCCCTGGCTGCTGTGGCTCAGTAGCTTGAGTGCCAGCCTGTGAACCAAAAGGTCACGATTCCTGGTCACAGCACATGCCGGGGTTGTGGACCAGGCCAGGTCCCCAGTTTGGGGTGTGCAAGAGGCAGCTGATCTTAGTACCTCTGGCACACCGATGTTTCTCTCCCTCTCCTTCTGTCTCCCTTCCCCTCTCTCTAAAATTAAACAAACAAAATCTTTAAAAAATAACTGTTTGGCTTTTGGTTAGGCCATTTCAGGACCCTCCTTCTTTCACCAGATGCCAAGGTAGCATAACCAATAAATCTCAATTTTAACTGTCCTGATTAATTATGATTAATTAAAAGGGTTCTTTTGGATACTGATTTTTGAATGACTTTTTGGCATCTATGATTGTTACTTTCTTATTTAACAAACACGGATTATTCATTTCATCTACAATGACATTTAATTTTATTTCCTTAGTTTATTTAGGAATTTTTTCCCCTGAAATATCCTTTTTTGGAATTGGTGCGAGGGGAAGTGCGGCTTCATAAAATGAAATAGCATTCTGACTTTTCCAGCTCTTACAGATTTACAGGGTGAGGATTATCTATTTATATACAAGTTTGAGAGAATTCTTTCATTGAAACATCTGAGTCTCTTTTGGACGTATTTGTTGGATAATGTTTTCCACCTCTTTCTTTTTTTTTATTTCCCAGAAAATGGTCCACTTCATCAAGACATTCATATACATTAGCACAGAATCAGTTACGGTAGTCTCTTCTTTTCCTGGTGTTCTTGAGGTGCAAAACCACATTCTCTAAGAATATCTTCTCAAAGCTAGGAGCAGAAAATTAAAAAGAAAGATGGAGATCAAGATAGGTGGGGTGGAAACTGACTAAAATGAAAGGAAAATAAGCAAGAATAAATATATTATTGGAGAAAACAAAGAGTACTCTAGATGACTCTGAAGAAAATTATGCCCTGGCTGGTGTGGCTCAGTGGACTGAGTGCCAGGCGATGTTTCTCTCTCTCCCTTTCTCCCTCCCGTCCCTTCTCTTTAAAAATGAATAAATAAAATCTAAAAAAAAAGAAAAAGGAAATTAAATCCACGATGATGAAGAAAAACTTGAGATAGTCTCCCAGGATGCAGAGAAAAAGGACAAAGATTTAATTGACAATGGTGACCCAATGTGATAATTTTAGAGGAGGGGAAAAAAAACCCCAAAACAATCTGTTCACAGAATAGACAGGAACATACTAGAAGAAAACCTTTCTAGCTGAAAAGACCTTCTATTTCTGGAAAATCAATAGGATATGGCCTGCACTGAGACTTATACTAGCAAAATATTTGATTGTGAGGGTAATAAAAAGTTCCCGAAAGCAGCAGGTAAATCATTCACCTAAAACAGACTGGCCCAGCTTTGCTACCATTTGTTTTGAGAGATAACATACACAAAAGTACGGAAAAGAAATATTAGAGTCTGAAAAAACTGGCAGTAACATTGATACCAATTAAACAAAGGGCTGGCAAATGCCAAAAAACAATGACTGAAAAGAGGATGTAATGGCTTTAAAAAGTGTAAAAAAAATCTGGGTCTATCATCCTGGACCCAGGATGATATCATTAAGTGGACGAATATAAGTAGGTGTGAGGGTAGCAGGCCAGGAGATGAAAAAGCACCTTAAGTTTTTCCCTACATAAAGAGGAACATAAAAATGATTGGTCATTGACTAATAATTTGAAATATAAACTATTTTTATTTAGTAAACTTATAGGCAACCACCAGGAGAATTAAAAAAAAACAACTGGCTTTCTGCTTTTCAAAACACTATAGGAGATATGAGCAAATATGGAGAGATTCAGAATACAGGAAATAGCAAAAGTAAAAACTATAAAATACAATGGCAGATAACCAAACTAGTCAGTTGTAACAGTGGAGATACAATGGGTTAAATCTCAGCCAGAGTGTAGGCACTGAGGATTTTTAGGGCAAACCCCTTGTACCTTTAGGCTTTTGCTAACGCAGAACCTGAGGCCTGGCTGGCTTTCACGTCCTATTTAAGGCTAAGACCCCAGTTCCAGGCAGACCTCTTTCTCCAGGCAGTCCTCCTGGGCTACCCCAGGCGAAATGAGCACACCCCCCCCCCCCGCAAAGAACGCAGCACGTGAGCGGGAAGCCGATGCTTCGAGTCAGGGAGGAAGTCCCCACCTTACTCTCTCACCCCAGGATACCGCGTGCGGGACGGAGCCGGGCCTGGTCCCAGGTGCGGGACACAAGGTGAAAGCGCTGAAATCCTGCTGGACCGTAATGTGTATCTTTTTGCGTCGTCCGCCTTTACCCCCAAACGGTGAGTATTCCCGAGCAGCAAGTTTCAAATCGGCTTGGTTTGCTAACGGATGCAGTCACTGCCCATGGAAGCTTCCCACACACCTGCCTGTTGTCCCCGCGCCGGGGTGGGTCTTCCCACCGCGGGGTCGATCCACCGGTGACAGCTCGCCCCGCCCCCACCTTGCAGACTTGCAGGGTCTCACGGTGTCCACTGGGAGGCCGCGTCGGAAGAGCAGAAGCCAGAGAGGAATAGGGCTCCCGGCTCTGCGTCTGCAGCCCCTTCCCCAAACCACCGGGGCTCCTCCCTGTCGCCAGAGATGTGGGGTTCAGAGAGGGCGTGGTCCCACTGAATATGTTGGAGAGACTAGGGGGCAGAGCTCAATGGGCTTGGGGGTAACAAGCGACAAGCAGAGAAGCTCGGGGCTGACCCTCGGCACCCTGGAGTGGATGAAACAGAGGGGTCCGAAGTGCGGGCTGAGACGCAGCGACCAAGTGGTTAAAGCACTGTGCCCCGCCCCAGGCCGAGGATTGGTGATCCCGGGGGGCGTGGCCGGAGGGCGGGCCCACGTTTGCCGCAGCTGCGGGTGGGCGGGGCCTGGGCGGGGAGCGGGAGGGGCGCGGAGCGGAGCCGGGCCCGCGCCGCGCGCCCCGCCGGGCGGGCTTTGGGCTGCACCAGCTATCCGGGCCGGTGGCGTCGGCTCCGAAGACCCCGCGCCAGACCTTGAAGCAGCGAGTAAGTGAGGCAGGCCCACTCGCGGCGCCCCTCCCGGCTCCGACATATCGCTGTGCCCTCTGCACTGCGAAGCTGGTCCTACTGGACCCGGAGCTGAGGAGGGGGCGCGTCCGGCTGCTGGGGTCCTGCGGGGGAGGGGAGTGGAGATGAGGCCGATGATGTCATGGATGCTTCGTCTGGCCTGGGGAGCCGTGGAGGCCGGAGGGGGTGCGGCCCGGATTATGTCACCTCTTCCCTCTGCGCCCCGCCCCCCGGGGCCACACGCGTTGCTGGGGAGGTGCGGGCGGGATTTCCCCCACCGCAGAGACCCCAGGGCACATTCTTAGGAGGACTCGTGTTCGGGGTCTCTATCTGCGGCTCTGCGGGCTGTGGGCTGTTGGTGAATGGCGAACTCCCCCCACCCCTCAGCGAGGAGACTCGTGTGTGCGCGCGTGTGTGCTGGTGGGGGGGGCGCTGTCAGCCCCCACAGTCTTGAAACAGGAGCTTCATCAGAACCAGGATCTAGGGGATGAGCCCCCTTCCCTCGTCGCCAAGGGAAGGTAGATCTCCCCCTCACACATCCCAAACAAGTTCTGGAGACCTCTGCACCCCCCAAAGATTTACAGTGCCCCCAAGCTCTTTTCTCCCTTAGTCCTTCTTCCCAGAAGACCTTCCTGATTTTTCCTGTGCGGATTCATTGCCTCTTTGCATTGCTCGTCACTAGCAATCCCACACGTATTTTCTCTGCATCTTATTAGTGCCAGAGCCCAGAGACCCCCAGGACTTTGCCATCTGTGCCCCCCTGGGCACCCACAGGCCAACGCCAGGGAAGCCTCAGAGTGAAATCTGCCTGCAGTAGCCTGAGCCAAGTACTCCAAGACCTCTTCCTGCCATGGGCAATCAGGGATGCTATCCTGGGAGCCAGCATTTGGATTGGGCCTTGGAGGATGCAGGATGGGTACAGAGATCTGGGAAAAGATAGTGTATGGAGTGGAGAGGGGCTCAGGTCAAGGCAAGTAGGATGGGCAGTGGGAGAGGCCTCTGGGGCCCTGCTGCAAGCTGTGTTCTGGTTCGGGGCTGAGAGGAATGCCAGGCATTTTACACATAGTACATATACTTCTTAAGATTTCTGTAAGGTAAGTGTGAGAACCTGAGGTGAAATAACCTGAACGCAGTTCCACCCCTAATTTATACTTGGAGCTGAAGCTCCAGATCTCCATCTAGTCTACGGCGTTTGGTGCTGCTCATGGAAGAATTTGGGCAGAGCAGGGACAAGATCAGCTTTGCCCTTTGGAAAGAATCCCCTGGCAGTTTCATGGGGGAGGGCGTGGAGGGGAAGAAAAGCCAGCAAGGAGCTCCCAGCAAGGGTGCTGGCAGGAGGGGCTGCTGAGATCTTTAGGAGGTGAATGGTCAGGGTCTGGGACCTCTAAAACCCCAAGGGAAGGCAGAATGTTCCTAGCTTTGGGAGGACACAGGTAGGGGGCAGCTAGGTGGTCACTCTAGGTCAGAGGGACCTGCCCATGTAACCCACAGATAGAGTCCATTTGGCCACTTTGTGACTGCTACTGCTGTAAATAATGTCCCAGGCACTGAGGGTCGATGAGACAGTGATAGAGGTAGAGTCGGGCAACAGACTGCCATCCAGGCTGTTGAGCTGTTGCCATCAGTCTGCCATTGCAGACCACACTCACTACCGGGGCCAGTTCAGGAGTCTGACCCATAGGTGAAGTTCAACTCAGTTTCTGCCTACCAGGGAAATGTATGCTCCTCCTTGTCCTGCCAGCTCCCTGCTGGGGTTTTAAGGAACCAAACTTGAAATAGTCAAGATGTAAGGAACATTTTCATGAGGTTAACCATGACAGATTAGAATTATGTTAAGAAGCTCTTTGGGGAGTGAGGCTTGAGGTGGAGCTGCTTTGAGCTGGCAGTAAAGGGTTCCCAGGTAAAGCACGAGTATAAGAGATTTAGGAGACGGTCTTGGGACCTCATTTCCACCCAGGACTCTGGGTGTCTGGGCCTGGGTGGGGACCACACACACCCTAGGGAAACAGTGGGGCAGAGTGGCATATGACCAGCCCCAATCTATAGTCAGATTCTTCTTTCCTGGATCTCAGAGAAGGTACCAGTATTGCTTGTATCGCACCTTATAGTGTACAAAGCACCTTCCCAAACATTATTATCTCCTATCACTGCCATGATCAACGCAGTCACTTCTGAGGTTTGCTCATGCCAATACCCAGGCCTCTGGCGCAGCCCCCTTGCCTAGATCTCAGTCTCCTATTGGAGTCTTCCTTTGGCATATCAACATACTCAGCTTTCTTCCACATTTAATTTTAAATTTAGAAAAAAGCCGTTGGATCCCAAACCATTTATATCACTGCCTTGGTTTAGCAGGGAACCTCCCATCTTCCCTCCAGACCCCTCTCCTGTTGTCGGGCTTTGCCTTGTACCACCCGTCTGAACCGTCCTCTCATAAGCACCAGTGGTGTTTGCACCCCCCAAATCCAGGGCACATTCACCAGTCCCAGTTCTACCCAGCCCCTTTTTAATGACAGAATTGCACCCACATTCTTCAAGGCCCCATCTTGGTCTGTGAGGCCTACCTTTTCCTGGCCTTCTTCTGGGCCCTACACTGCCTCCCAGGCCTCTGGGGCTCCGTTACCCTAACTAGTTGCTTGGCCCCACCCACACTACCCTTAAATGCTGATGTTCCAGTCTCTCTAGCCAGGATGTGAGACAGAGCTTTCTCTGGTCTTCCCCCAGACATTCTCCTGTGTCATATTAATGTGCCACACCCACCCTGTTGCCCCAGCCCAGATCCTCTCTCCCCCTCCCCCCAGCCCCATCTGTATGAACTTCTGCCAGTTCTTGCTTCCAAATCCTGCCCAGGCCTTCCCTCTGGTTCCAAGCCTCAGGCCACTCAGCCTCCATCCTCCCAGTCCTCAGTTGCTCCCTACACTGCACTAGGGATGATGAGAAAAGGGGGTCATGGTTAGGATGGGAGGGGGATTTCTGAGCTGAGGGGTAGCCACGTTGGTGTATGCTAAGAGTGGAAGCAAAGCAGGGACTAGGGTGAGGCCCAGGAGGCAGGCACCTGGGGGACCCACCAAAGTAAAGAGGGCCTCACTCTCCCGGGGTCTGCACTTGCTGATCCTGCGCGTCTCTTGCGCCTGACAGGACAGATTGGCCCAGGGATGTGGGTGGGAAAGTGCTGTTCTCCACCCCTAGGGAGCAGGTGCTGAGAGAGTGGAATTTCACAAAGGCAGTGCGGGCTGGCTTGGTGGTGGACTTTCAACCACCTGGGGCCGTAGTGCCAGTTGTGGTGGCCAGAAGACACCTGAAGGCCAGTAGTTTTGTCCAGCTCCCCTGGTCTGGGGCCCGATAGGATGGACACAACATTAGAAGTGGGTATCTGGGTAGAAGACAGTCTGAGAAGTGCCCAAAGGGCTGTGGGATGCCACCTGGACCCCTTCACCTTGGTAAAGGAAGGCACCCTGCCTGTTTTCTGATGGGAGTAGAATGTGAGGGCCTGAAGGGTGCCCCTGCCAGGCTGGATTATTCAGATCTCTGAGGCAGGTGTACCCAGGTGCAGACTTGAGACAAAGGAACCAGGAAGCAGGGCCTCCCTGAGCACAGGTAACCCGAGGCCCTGCTCGCCCTGTTGGCCCTGTTCCTGTGGGCTGGCCTTAGGGGGTGGGGGCGCACACCCAATGAGGGGCGCCGAGGACTTCGTGGTGTACTGAGAAGGGTCAAGGTCTAAAGGGAGTGGGAAAGGGAGGTAATCCAGGAAGTCTTCCCGGAGGCAGTGGATTCTCAGCTGGGGGTAGGGGGGTTGGCTGTTGGTGGAGTTAGGCTGGCGCAGAATCTTCCCCGGGCTCCGCTGGGTGCGCAGGCCCCGCCCATCCCCGCCCACCTGTGGGAAAGGCAGGCCTCTAGGGAGGCTCCGCGGGCGCGGGCTGCTAGCGGCATTGCGTCCTCAGCGGGCTTGGGGGCCTCTGCCGCGGTACCGGCCGCGGGGAGGGGGCCCTCCGTGCTGGGCCCCCCGTGCTGCTCACTTGAGAAGACCTCCAGGAGGGCTCCTTGGTCACTCGCTGCAGCCGCGGTCCCAGGCGGCCGCGGGGACCGAGGCGTGCCCGTGGTGGCCCTGAGGCGCGCTGCGAAAGCAGCTCCTGCCCCTGCCGCCCAAGACTACCAGTCCGAGGCTCGGCACCTTTCGCCTGAGAGCGCCTGGCATCGTGGCAGCTCCGCAAGGTAGGTCCTTCGTTCCTCCCATTTCACAGAGAAGAAAACTACAGTCCGAGATGGCTCTGTTGACCCTTCCAAAGTCGCGAAGCTGGTTCGGGCCGAGCCCCGACTGCGAGAATGAGGCACCTGGCCCCTGCAGACCGGGCCCCAGAGGGTCCCAGGCTTGAGGACCTTCGGTTCCCCACCCCCTTGGAAAAGCAAGGAGAGGAGCCTGCGCTGGTAGTGAGCCTCCACTTCTGCCCTTGACTACAACATCCTAGGTTAGGGCGCTGGGAAGGACCCCACCCACAATTTTGGATAGGGGTTGGTTTCTCTTCTGACTCTAACTTCTGAGGGTCCCTTTTGGATTCAGATGTTGCTGTCCCCTTCCAACCCCATCTCTCTGCCTGTGAGGTTGGGGTGTTGGGGCCCAGGACCAGGGTAAAGAACCCTGAGTTCTGGAGGCTGCAGTGAAAAATTGAGGGGACCACTGAGTCTAAAAGGCCCATGGGGGAGGTGGTGTTGAGGAGGGGAGTGCAGCGCTGAGCAAAGCTGGGAGGGCATGATGTGCCTGCTGTTTTGGGCTTGGGCCTTGTCAGGTCAGCCACAGGCAGCCCGCATTACCAAGCTACCACTTTTACCCCTGCCCCATTCCTTCACTTTGGGTGTCTGGGAATTCTTGTATCAGTTGTAGGGAGGGGGCCTCTGAGAGGTAGGGTGTGGGCGGTGCTGCGGCTGGCTTGCCGGGTGTGGTGCGGTGTGGTGGGCGCAGGCGTGGGTCTGACTGATCTGATCTCTGCTTCCCCACCTATGCCCACAGTGACCCCCTGGCTTAGTCATGGCGAAGCTGGAGACACTGCCTGTGCGCGCTGACTCGGGGCGGGATCCCCTCCTGGCCTTTGCCCCGCGGCCTTCTGAGCTTGGACCCCCTGACCCTCGCCTGGCCATGGGCAGCGTGGGCAGTGGGGTGGCCCATGCCCAGGAGTTCGCCATGAAGAGCGTGGGCACCCGCACAGGGGGTGGGGGCAGCCAGGGCAGTTTTCCTGGCCCCCGAGCTGGTGGCAGTGGGGGCAGCAGGGAGAGGCCAGGCCGCTACCCCTCTGAGGACAAAGCTCTCGCCAACTCCCTCTACCTCAATGGCGAGCTGCGGGGCAGTGACCACACGGATGTCTGTGGCAATGTGGTGGGCAGCAGTGGTGGCAGCAGCAGTAGCGGTGGCAGTGACAAGGCCCCACCACAGTATCGTGAGCCCAGCCACCCCCCTAAGCTCCTGGCCACCTCTGGCAAGCTAGACCAGGTCAGTTCCCGGGCCTTTTTCTGGGGATGGGAGGTAGTGCAGAGAGGAAGACGAAGTGGGCCTCCTTGGAATTTGGGTTTTAGGTATCAGGATAGAGGCTGGGCTTGGAGGGTGGGGTCTTGGGGGCCAAGTCCAACTGGTGGGTCCTGGACAAAGACTTGGCTTGGGTGGGCCGTGAGGTAGAGACCCTGCCCTAAGTGACTCCTGGGATGGAAATCAATGGGCTTGGGAGGGGGCGCTGAAAAGTCTTGGCCAAAGGGAGGAGGCTGGGGTCAATGCTAAGGCCCCATCCTGATGTCCATTTCCCCTTCCTTGCTTTTACACAGTGCTCAGAGCCACTAGTTCGGCCTTCAGCCTTCAAGCCTGTTGTACCCAAGAATTTCCACTCCATGCAGAACTTGTGTCCCCCACAGACCAGTGGGACCCCTGAGGGACGACAGGGACCTGGTGGCCTCAAGGGTGGACTGGACAAGTCTCGGACCATGACCCCAGCGGGTGGGGGTGGGGGCGGCCTCTCAGACTCAGGCCGGAACTCACTCACAAGCCTGCCCACCTACAGCTCTAGCTATAGCCAGCACCTGGCGCCCCTCAGTGCCTCCACCAGCCACATCAACCGCATTGGCACTGCCAGCTACGGTAGTGGCAGTGGCAGTGGTAGCAGCGGTGGTGGGTCAGGCTACCAGGACCTGGCGACCTCTGACAGTGGGCGGGCCTCCAGCAAGAGCGGGTCATCCTCATCCATGGGGCGGCCTAGCCACCTGGGATCGGGAGAGGGCGGAGGTGGAGGCCTGCCTTTTGCAGCCTGCTCACCACCCTCGCCCAGTGCTCTGATCCAGGATCTAGAGGAGCGGCTGTGGGAGAAGGAGCAGGAGGTGGCAGCTCTGCGGCGGAGCTTGGAGCAGAGTGAGGTGGCGGTGGCCCAGGTGCTAGAGGAGCGGCAGAAGGCCTGGGAGCGGGAGCTGGCTGAGCTACGGCAGGGCTGCAGCGGGAAGCTGCAGCAGGTGGCCCGCCGTGCCCAGCGTGCCCAGCAGGGCTTGCAGCTGCAAGTGCTGCGGCTGCAGCAGGACAAGAAGCAGCTGCAGGAGGAGGCAGCCCGGCTGATGCGACAGCGGGAAGAGCTCGAGGACAAGGTGGCCGCCTGTCAGAAGGAGCAGGCCGACTTTCTGCCCCGGATGGAGGAAACGAAGTGGGAGGTGCGGGTTGGGGGCTTGGGCCTTCTCCTTGTCTCTTCCTTCTGTCCCTCTGGAGGAACCCAGCGCAGTAGGCCACCATTCTCACAAGGGGAGTGAAAGTTGCAGGGCTGGGGCAGGGGAAGCAAGATTGATTAAGAGTGTCTGTGAGGACTAGAGCTGCCCCTGGGCTGGGTAGGGTTGGCCATATATACCCTGAATCTGAGGAGAGGGCCCTGTGTGTCACTTCTGCCCAGTCTGATGCCCTGGAGAAGCTTGGTACCTCTGGGGCTGGATATGGGGGCTGGGTTGAGCAGAGCTCTGCCTTCACCCTGGCTTCTCCCACCCAACCCTACCCAGGTGTGCCAGAAGGCTGGAGAGATTTCACTCCTGAAGCAGCAGCTGAAGGACTCGCAGGCCGATGTGTCCCAGAAGCTGAGTGAGATTGTGGGGCTGCGCTCCCAGCTGCGGGAGGGCCGGGCCTCGCTGCGGGAGAAAGAGGAGCAGCTGCTCAGCCTAAGGGACTCCTTCAGCAGCAAGCAGGCCAGCCTGGAGCTGGCTGAGGGCGAATTGCCAGCTCCCTGCCTCAAGCCGGCACTGACCCCTGTGGACCCCACTGAGCCACAGGATGCTCTGGCCACCTGCGAGAGTGACGAGGCCAAGATGCGCCGGCAGGCCGGGGTGGCCGCTGCTGCCTCTTTGGTCTCCTTGGATGGGGAGGTGGATGCTGGTGGGGAGAGCGGGACAAGGGCCCTGCGGCGGGAGGTGGGGCGCCTGCAGGCCGAGCTTGCCGCTGAGCGGCGAGCTCGGGAGCGCCAGGGGGCCAGTTTCGCGGAGGAGCGCCGCGTGTGGCTGGAGGAGAAGGAGAAGGTCATCGAGTACCAGAAGCAGCTACAGCTGAGCTACGTGGAGATGTACCAGCGAAACCAGCAGCTGGAGCGGCGGCTGCGGGAGCGTGGGGCCGCGGGGGGTGCCAGCACACCCACCCCCCAGCATGGTGAGGAGAAGAAAGCCTGGACCCCCTCCCGCCTGGAGCGCATTGAATCTACAGAAATCTGATCCCTGACCTGGGCATTCGGACTTTTGACAAATGTCCTGTCAAAGGCCAGAGTCCCCAGTATTCCCTCCCACCATCTCTTCCCCACCATTTCCATATCCCCAGACCAAAGAGGTTCTCAAAGCAGCTGTGACCAGGTCCCTACCCTCCCTGCTCTGAGTGCCCTCCCAGCTGTACGACTGCCCCTCTGGGCAGTCCACTCCGACCCTCCTCCCAAGGAGGGAATGGGGAGGGCAGAGCTAGTGGGGCCCAGGTTCCCTTTGTTGGCACTCCCTGTTGGAGATAGAGGCAGCAGGTCCGCAGTGCCGTGAGGTGGCCCAGCCCCTCAGTGAGTCTGGGCTGCTACTGTTGGTGTGTTCAGTGATGCTCGCCTCCTAGGCCATGCAGCCTGAGGGGGCCTGCTTCGGGTCTACTGAAACTGATAGGCCTCGAGCTCCTGGCCTCTCTCCTTCCTGCATTATTCTCCCTCCCTGGGCAGATTGGCAGGACAAGTGGGAGCAGATGGCCTGGCTGTGGTTGAGAGGGCTACCTGCCCAGCCCCTCCCCCCAAGGTCTTCCGGGCTCAGGCCTCAGAGCCTAGCTCGGCCCTGAGTGTGTGCCCATATGTACGTGTTGGAAGAAGGAGAGGCTGGGGCTGGAGGCTCAGTGCCCAGGAAAGATTTGCCTTCCTGTGTCTGGGAAGGGTCACCTGGAGGCTTCTAAGCACCCCGAATCCCCCGACACACACACACCCTCTTTTCTGGCCAGGATCCAAGGGCAATAGCCTCATCCGCCTGGCTGACCCCATACCCAGGGCCACTATCTGGTTCTAACTACAGCTATGAAGTGCTACCTGCCTCTCAGGCACTCCCCTCACCCAGTTCCTGAGGTCATGAGTGTCTGTGATGTCGCCCCCACTCCATTCCCACAACCTCCCGCTTTCAGCTCACTGTCCCAGGCCACCTCTTCCCCCAAACCTCACCTTTTCTTCCAATAGAAAATTCTGCTTGATATTTGGTGCACTGCCCACTTCTAAGCTCCACCGGCCCCGAGCCTGAGCCTGAGGCCTTTGTTTTGGGGGGTAGGGGGTGGGAGGGCTTGTGATTGCCTGTGAAGAACAAGGCTGACCTGAGAGGAACACTGACTCTTGGGTTCCCCAGGGCCCTAAGGTAGCTCACTGTTTGCCCAGGGGCGGTCTGGCACGGCCATCAGTGGGGGTTAGGACAGCCAATGTGACTTCCTCCTCTGTGGGCCCTCTCAGAGTCCATCTCCCCAAGATAGGAAGGGAAAGGCAAATTTCTAATTCACCAGCAATAAAAATTGGAGGAGGCTTGGCACTTAGTCCTCATATTTCTCTTTTCGCTCTCTTCCTCCCATCCCCAAGAATAGGTTTGGGGGCAGGGTGGAGAGAGCTGGCAACTACTGTGAGCAAGTCCCCTAACCCCTGACCAGCCTCCTCCCATGACTGGTGACTGTTCAACAAGCTGTGCGTCCCCCATGAAAACAGAAGTGTCCCCCTGTGTGGCCTCTTATCTCTTTGCACAGCCCCTTCCGGTGGCCCTCACCAGGTCTCTGAACTGGGTTGGGGGGCCATTGTGGCAATCACTGCCCATTCTGCTCACCCCTCAGTGCACCTGCCCCAGAACCTGGGCCTGGGCCAAAGGGGCATGGGGAAGAGAAGGCATTAGTAGGAAAAAAAAAAAAAAAAAAAAAAAAGGAAAAACAAAAAATATGAACAGACTCAGCTTTGGGACTTCCGACCACAAAAGAAATTATATATAAATATATATATAAATATATATCTCTACCATATGTGATGGAAAGACTTTGTTTTCTTTTCCCAAAGAAATAAAATTGAGAAAGCCTCTTGAGTGGCATTCTTTGGCCTGTTGGTGTCTTTGCAGGTGAGGGTGGTGTGGAGGGCAAAGCTGGAGTAAACAGATTTCCCAGAGGAGGCATGAGACTGGAGGTGCTCATTGGGCTGTGCCAGGACATTGGCTCAAAGCCCAACGTCCTCCATGTTACCCTGGAGGAGTCATGCTTCCACATTTCTGCCTAGCGGGGCCTTCTCTTCTGAGTGTCACCCAAAGCGTTTCAAGCTGGTTCCAGCTCAGAATCTAGACGCCAGGCTGCTGGCCAGAGGCAGGTGATGCAGGGCAGCTAGATGCAGCCTGCAGTGGCCCGAGCCACCTTATAGCAATGGGCTGATGTTGGTGGGAAGAACACCTAGTAAGGAAGGGTGAGAACTGGTTTGTAATTAGTGGTGAGCCTGAAGAGGCAGAAGGGACCCAAGTGTGCTGTCCTTTATGATCATTTCTTCTGTCATCCTTACAAAGCCCTCAGTCAAGAATGTATTCTGCTACAAGTAACACAACCTCATTTACAGGACCTTAAATAGTGGCTTCTTTTTTCTTGCCCGACGAGTCTGGTAGGCATCCTAAGTGTCATAGGTGTTGGTTCATCAAGGACCTAGACTGTTCATCCTCCTACTTTCCCATTCTTAGCATGTGGTCCCCACCATGCCACAAGGTGGCTGCCACAGCTCCATGAAGATATTGAGGCAGCACTACTTTACCATGAAAGTAAAAGCTTTCCCAGAACCCTATTGGCACAGTTCCCTTTAAATTTTGTTGGCCAGAACTCAGTCACATATTCTTCCCACTTCAAGGGAGGCTAGGACATTGAGTATTTGACAAAGAAGAACAGATTTGCCCTGGATGCCTAGGAGCAAAGTGGTCCACCCCCTGGGAATAGGCCCTCTGCTGTCTCCTGGTTCTGTTGGCAGACAGTCATAATCCACAACTAATTGCATGGTCTGGCCGTAGGGAGAGAACCTTCTCTGAGCAGTGGTGTCAATGGCCTGGGGCCCCAAATATCCCCCCAGGCAAACAGTGCCCTCTGATGAGCTCGGGAGTTGCCATGCCAGGCTTAACCCCTCCCCCTTTGCAGTGTGGTATCCTGCCTACATTGATTTGCCTCTCCAACAAGATGGATCGCCAGAGGAAGTACCAATTCTCAGGTTCACTGCCCTTAACGTGAGTGGACCAGCAGCCAAGGCACGGACAAAGTATGGCAACCCTGACCAGCAGCTCTCCAGAGCCCCCAGGAAAGGCAGTGTGGGGCCAGGCTCTGCTGGAAGATGTCAGTGGGGCCTCTTCCTTGCCTAGTTCTGCCCATATCAACTCAGGTGTGAGCCCCCTAGGGTGGTGGAGGATAACCTTGGCTTCTCTTCACATTCATTTCTCCTACTGGGCTTGGCCCATCGCTAACTCCTGGCTGCACTTTTATGATTACGTCTCTATTTTTATTACTTATTTATTTATTTAAAAAGATTGTATTTATTTACTTTTAGAAAGAGGGGTGGGGGGAGAGAAAGAGAGGCAGAGAAACATCAATGTATGGTTGCTTCTCCCGAGCCCCCTATCAGGGAACCTGGCCTGCAACCCAGGCATGTGCCCTGACTGGGAATCCAACTGGCAACCTTTCGGTTCGTGGGTAGGCGCTCGGTCCCCTGAGCCGCACCAGCCAGGGCACATCTCTCTTTTTAAAAGCTGATTACTTTTATTATACAGATGAGGAACTAGGCTTAGAGAGTTCATGTGACTTCCCAGGACCACAAAACCTTGAATGGTTATTGGGATTCGAACATGTGACTTGTCCATTCAATTACGGTGAGGCGTTTCCCCTCCGCAGGTCCTAGATTCCTCCTGACTCTTTAACATCACCCTTCAGTGGAAGATGTCCTTGAAAAACGCTGACAGAGTCTTTTGAGCCTCGGCTGCACCCGTCATTCGCGCAGCAGCCGGAAGTAGCCGGCAGTTGGCCGGAAGTGGGGCCGTGAGCCACCTCTGTATCTGGAGTTGAGGTGGTGTGGCGGACTGCGAGATCCGAAGTTGCCGGATACTGTGCCGGCGCTGGCCCGGCTCAGGTGAGTGGCAGCGGCTGCGAGAAGGTCGCGTCCGCCGCTCCGTGCCGACCTGGGCCGTGGCCTGCGCCTGCTGGCCGGCCGAGGGCCCGCGCGCGCCGAGGTCTGGCTCTGCGCTTCCCGGCCAGGGAGGCGGGCGCCTCTGGCAAGCCCGACTTTAAGGAGAACCTCGGCGACCCCACTCCGGGGTCGACCTTGAGACCTTGGGCGAGCGGCTTATCTGAATCTTGATTTTTCAGCTGTGAGACAGCTGTGGTGGGAATGTAGCGAGACGCACCTCATCACACTCTAATGTGCAAATGAAGCAATTAGGAATCTCGGAGATTTCCATTCTGTAGGTCTGGTAGGGGGGTGGTCCTGAGGTCCTACGTTTTCTAACCTGCTTCCAGGTCAGGCTGATGCCATTTTTCCCCAGGCCGCCCTTAGATCAGCAAGGCCTTACAATAGTAGTTTGCTTCGTGCTTGGGATGGGGTGAGACTTAAGTAAACATTATACGATATTTTTTAAACAGTTTTTGGTGTTACAAGCCTAAGGGTAGTATTGATATTCCCCTATTTTTTCCCTCTAGGAATAAGACAAATAATTGCTTTTCCTCTGTATGTACAAGTCATGACACAGCTGATCTGTCCTGACTCAGGAAGCTTTGGGCCCTCTTATACCAGTTAGGTTAATGGATCTCCTGAGATAATACTTTATTGCCCATTCACTGTAGACCCTCGGGCAGTGCTTCATCCTGTGGAGCTGGTAGCCAAGTGCTTTAGCACCAAATGGCTCCTGTTTGATGTTGCAGTAATTCGTTGCCGTGTTAATCAGAATTCATGTTTTCTGCACTTGGGACACATTTTGAGTAGTTACTAGATTCTGCGACTCAGCTCTGAATGGCTTTGGGAAGGCTCTGGGATGAACTTACCACTGCCTCATAGACCAAAATAAAACGTGAACACTCAGGGCTGCATGATACAACTGAGAAAGTGAGGCCTTTGGCAGTTATGCAGCTCTGATTTGTCGGTTTGGTTTTCTTCCCCGTTCATTGGTTTATTTTTCTGTTCCCCAGTAAGGCCTTGTCATTCACCATGCAAAGAAGTCATCTTTGCTGTTAAAGAATTTTGAAGTTCCCCCTTCACTTGTCTGAGCTACTCTGCAAATCTAGGAAAACAGATTTAAAACCAAGTGTTTTGTGGAGTTAACAGCAGTACTGGGACCATCTATTTGGGATTTTCCCACATAACTGTGGGTACAGATACTTCTCTTTACCTGCCTGGATTCTGTCAGTCCTCAAGTAGTCCCATTTAGATGGGCTAAGATCTTGAGTTTCTGCGGTTTGTTGTAGTGGAAATTTTCTAACGACAGAGTCTTATCAGACCCTTTAAGAGCAGTGGCTTTAACAGAATCATCTGTGGGGCCCTATCAGACTATATCTACCCAGGCCCTCTTGCCATTTTGATAGAGGAAAAGTGGAGTCTTAGAAGCAGAAGAGAGGGCTGTGGAAGCTAAAAAAAATTTCACAGGTGATTGTAATGTGTTATTGTCTCTCCCATACACATGGAAATTAGAACAAAGTAGAGGGGATGGGCTGTCAGACTTGATTTTGGTTTGACTTAGCTCTGTGGGCAATACTTACCTTGACCCAGACACCTTTACACTAGTGCTTTACCTTCATCATAGTTGTAGACCCCCTCTTGTAGGCTGTGCTCCTGTGTGGGAATAAGCTCGGATGAGTCTAGCCCAGCTAGCATCTGTGTTAACATCTAAGGGTTCACACTGTCAGCCTCTAAACCCTCACCGTGGGCTTTAAAGCTGTGTAGGCTCTTGTCAGGAGACTCCAGCACCTAGAGAAAGGTAGGTTTTGTTTGTTTGTTTAAATTTTTAGGGTTGCCCAATAAATTATTTGCTAAGATAAGAATAGGTTTTGAAGATCTATTTGTAGTAATTTTGTCAGGACACAAAAGTGTTAAACTTTTCTAGCAGAAAGATCAGAAATCAGAATTACATATGATGAAATGGGGTGAAATTCGGTAACTGGTAAATTACATATGCTGAGGGTGTTATATACTTAATCTACAGTTAGCATGGCTGCCTTCCTCCACCTGGCTCTTCTCTAACTTCTGGACTGTAGTTTAAAACGAAGCTATTTCATCTTACTCAGACCTGTGCCCGGAAGGTGGAAAGGTAAGATTCCTTGCTCCTGTGAAATCACAATGATTCAGGGTGGTTTGGGTAGTGTCTTTCAGAACAGCCAAGCTCTGGGGGTCTGTGAGGTTCCACTGTGCTTCATAAAGACCCCTAAGAGAGGAGGGGAAGCAAGGTATACTTGGGGCACTTAAACTAGGAAAGGGGCACCCTGGCTCGTGTAGCTCGGTGGATTGAGTGCCAGCCTGCAAACAGAAAGGTTGCTAGTTTGATTCCTGGTCAGGGCACATGCCAGGGTTGCAGACCAGGTCCCCTGTTGGGGGTGTGTAAGAGCAGTTGATCTCTGTATCTCTCACACATTGATGTTTCTCTCCCTCTCTTTCTCCCTTCCTTACCCTCTCTCTGAAAATAAAAAATAAATAAATAAAAATAAATTAACTAGGAAAGGGCTTTGTGAAATGATGCCACATATATTTGAACCTTTATAGAAGGCATCAGGAGTTATTGGGCATCTCAGAGCGCTCTCACCTTTCTTACAGAGTTTCTGGGAGTCCTTACCTAAGGAGGAATTAACTCAGCTGTGTTTTCTCTACCTGGGCATCATATCCTTGCCTCTTCTCTTCCCACTTTTTGCTTTATTGGTTGCGTATCTTGTGTTTCTTTCCTTTCCTTTTCCACAGTGTTTAAGACCCAACTTCTGAAGTGATTATATTTCATGATATGGTGTATATTTATTTAACACTAAAAGTTCCACGATGAAAAAGTAAGTAACACTGTTTGCTCTTTGCAGTTTGGTTCTGCCTGTCTCTGA